TCAAATATGTATCATACATCATATGACATGAATTGTTTGCAGAAAAATTGAACAAACAAATAAAAAACAAAAAAACCCCAAAAACAAAACACTTTTTCTCTTGTCATCATCGTGAGACATCCGTCATCCACTTCTCTCGTATTGTAACAAAATAAATTATTACATTAATTACAAAACAAATTAAATATGACTGTATGTTTACTAGCACACACACGTACACTCACTCACACACACACACACACTCACACACACTGTACAAGTAAAGATCTCGGCTGTCAAGTAGGGTGAACCATGTACAATATAACTACGCAGTGATTACACAGAGACAGCGCATTTTGAGTGGACACCAGCACACACAGACAAATGACACACACACAGACAAACAATACACACTCACACTGTTGCACAATTAGCAAGTATTTTCCCAGCATTCTACCGCCAGCCTCTCTATACTGCCAACTTTACATGGTCATCCCAAGGTGGCCAGTAGATTGAGGTCTGAAGTGCTCAAGTACGTATGGATTACTGACTATGTGAAAAAGCATAAAAATTTTAAGAATTTCATCTGAAATGCCTCTCTATCCATCCTTTCTTTCACTCCATCATTTAACCTACAATACCTATGTCCTATACAAAAATAGTTAAAATTTATCTATAGTGAGGGACTTTTCTACCTTGAAAGAACTTCACAAAGTCTGAAGAAACATCACATCACAAGACCCACTCTTGTTTTGCACTAATTACGTGATGGTAGAATATTATGGTTTAGAACGTACATGACAGACGACTAAAAGCTAAGTTTACACAGCTGACTGGACATCACAAGACATGACGTCATAAGAAATGGCGTCATAAGACATGACGTCACAAGAAATGGCGTCATAAGACATGACTGAGAAATGGTGACACGAGAAATGACATCACAAGACATGACGTCATGAGAAATGACATCACAAGACATGACGTCATGAGAAATGACGTCATGAGAAATGGTGACACAAGACATGACGAACACTCACACACAGTGCTAGATACCACCGGTCCCAGGATATGGCAGAATATTGCTTCATATATGCACAGACACAGCAGACAACACTACACTTTTAGGCCTGTCAAAAGCCCTAATAAAAAATCCGAGATCCCTGCTAAAAATCCGAACTCTGTGACATATTTTTTGCCCTGCACAATTAAATTTACATGAAATAATTTTTTTTTCTTTGGCGAGAGAACATGAAACATGTCAGAAGTCTATTAAGGATTTTTAACTTTTCCTGCGTCCTGTCCCTCTGGGCTAGTTGGAATTCAAGAAAAGAGTGCTTTGATCAAAGGAACAGAAAGCATTTGTCTATGTCTATCATTGGGACCACAAGATTTGTTCAGTTCAGTTTTTGGTCTAGAGAGGTTGCGAAAAAAAAAAAAGAGAAAAAAAAATAAATCAGGATTTCATTTTCTTGAGGTTTAAAGATTTACCATGTTCAATTTAAGGAGACTTCGATGTAGAAGAATCTACATACTATTAAAAATTCATTTGAAATATCGTAAAAAACTGAAGTGAGTTTTTCCTTCCTCGTTATTAGCAAAGCAGACGGCACCATCTCCTACAACTTTTATTTGAGAAATTGGGTTTTTTTTTACTACCTACTAACACGAACCATCAAAACAGTTAAAAAAGCCTATAAAAATCTAGTTTTAAATGTTATATACAACCTGCAAAGCTGAATCCAAATTGTATTTTTAAAAGTCACAGTCATTGGGTAGGGATCTGTACAGGCGTACATGTTTGTTACATTTCTAAAAAATTCCTTATTATGCTCTACAGTATGACATACAGGCATACATGGTCGCTTTTAAGCACAAGGAGGCTATCCCGAAAAGTGCTGTTTTGAGAAAATCGAAGGTAAAGTTTTGGAGCCTTGTTCAGTTGTTTTTTTAAAGACAAGGAGAGTTTTCTCTACAACCAAACAAATATACACACCAATGACATCAAACTTCTCCTATGGATAGGACAATGCCCACTTTTGGAGCAAGTCAAGATTTCTGGAAACCCCCGCAAATCTATGTCAGCCCGCTTGTCTGTAAAAGCGCCCACGTGTAATGTAAAAACATAACACATGATGATTATGGCAATAACCCCTACAAAAATGTACACACTGGTTCCGACATTCCTCTGGTGAAAAAATGCACAAGCTTTTAAAATAAAGAAAGCAAAAAGACCAATATTATGGTGTGTCGGATTGCCCTGCTGCAAAACAAGTTTTTAAAAAAGACAAACAAATATATGTTTCACACTAGACAAAAATTTCCCCAGTCAACAATACTCGTAAGTGGCAAAGTTGTTAAAAGTTCCCTATTAGATATTGAAATCGCTTTAAAAATATTCTGATTTTTTTTATTAATACAAATCAGAAAATAGTAAAAAATAACTCGACTTTTTCTAACACGTTCTTTGTGTGTGAGTGTGAGAAGAACAGGCCGGTTCAAGACTTGAATAAAAAAGAAGTTACGATTTTTCTTTACCACACTGTTGTGATCTTCGAAACATCACTAACATACTCTCCTTGTTTTTACCCACACGAATCGTGTGGTTAAAAAAAAGAACCACACGAATCGTGTGGTTAAAAAAAAGGTTGAAATAATGAAACTGCGTCGGTTTAACTTTAACGCCCCTATCAATACTATTAGGTTATTAAAGAGGCAGGATTTCCGAGTTTAACGTCCATCTCCGAAAGAACCATGCCAAATGAGAAACTCGTGTGAAGTGTCTTTCCCAAGGACACAACGTCGGACCGAGCTGAAGCCCAAACCCCCAAAAAAATAAGGGGAATTATGCTAAGAATAACACTCTGAGTGTACAGACATAACAAGCGGCCATGATCCTCACAGTAAGTGTTCCCTCTCATTTCTGCTCAAATACATGTAAATGCCTCTCCTCACTCTAACTCTAAGTGTTTAAAAAAAGTATCTTGTAAAGTGTCCACACTAATCTATAAAATGTAAACTTAGTCCCTATAATATTGCGTTTGACAGAGCAGTCCGCTGAAATCTGAGAGACACTGGGTTTTCTTTGATTTGGAGAGGTGGTTCAAATAGAAGAACAAAAAAGAAAGGAGGATTTTTTGCCGCATCGTGGAAAAAATATTGCTCTTCTCAGGATACAAAACAAAATTTGTGAACCATACCCTGCTCAATTGTAAACTTAGTGTCTTTTCGTATGGGTCAACAATGAAAAAAGATGAAGATTATTGCAACGTTGAGTCCTGGATCAAACCTTTCAAATAATTGGAGTCATTTGACAAGACTAGATCTCAACAATACAGCATGTGTGCCATTAATTTTTCTATATATAGGCTTAGTGTGTTGCTCTCTCTTACTCTTTTTGTATATCTCTCAAACACAAGCACACACACAAGCACACACACAAGCACACAGTAGGTCAAATGAGAAGCATTGAGTAGATGACTGAATAAGTAGAGGGATGAAAATAGCACCACAGAACTGACAGGGTGTGCGTTTATAATCCACACCTGCGCGCACACACACACCCACACACTCAAATACACACACACACACTCAAATACACATACACACACATGAAAAGCTAACGTGTTGTACACTACAGGGCTTCGGTACAAATGACCCAAACTTTCACAGTACTAGATAAGTATATTCTACTTCTCCTCCCTTTTTCTTTTCTTTGTTTACATCCTTTCAGTTTTACAGTACATGCTGTCTCTTTCTTACATGATCTTCTTTTTTTGCTCTCTCTCTCTCTCTCTCTCTCTCTCTCTCTCTCTCTCTCTCTCTCTCTCCTCTCTCTCTCTCTCTCCAATAGAACTTTTTCAACTTTCCACTAGCACACATGATGAGGCAGACAATTTCCGCGGGGTAGGTAGACATCCGCCATACACGTATGTACATGTAAATTATGAAACATCACATAAAGTACATTAACATATTTATATATATTGAATTGTATGTACGTGTATATATAATATTCTTTGTCAGGGGCTTGGCCTCATCCCTTCAAAAGTTATCGTCAACTCAAAGCACGGAGAGCGTAAGCTTAGGCCCCTCCCACCAAGACAGGAAAACACAAAGTACAAGACAGTAATATCAGAATCAATGAATAGCAGGATCAACACACCCCCCCCCCCCCCCACCCCCTCAATCCCATTTCAGAATATTGTTCATGTGGATATATTTAAAGTATCTAAATACACTAGTACTAGTTACCAGGAAAAAAACCAACAAAAAACCCCAGACCCAGTCTAGCTCAACTGAAGTAAGCGGTGACTCATTGTCATTGCTTTCTGTGAAATATTTATAATGTAGAGAGTTGACCACAAAGAACGAAAAAAAAAAATCCAACTTGGAAGAATTTTAATTTAACCAAAAGAAAAGAAAATAATCAACTCTGATTCCCAAAAATATAATTAAATGAAAGATAAACTTTGATTAAATGAACTAAGAATGAAAAAATCCAAAAACCTAAGTGACCATTATTGTCGGCTAACGGTCATGAGTAACAAAACATAGTCAAGGAAAAAGTAAGTTGCAAGATACAGAGTGGTGATAGGCAGCTAATGACACCAGCGGTCTACATAAAGTGGAAAAGTACCGTACAAAAAGAAAAATACAAAACTATTTTCTTTAAATCTGTAAATGCAAAGAAAAGTTTGATCGTACAAAATCAATTTTTCCCCATTGACCTACTCAACACGACAATAAAATAAAACATTTTTATAAAAAAAAAAATTAAAAAAAAGAAAAAAATCAGAATCAATTTCAGAATCTAATGAGCTCATACAAAACATAAATATATTCAAATGTGAGGCAATCAGGCGCTCGTCAATATAATGAATGTCAAGAAACTGGCATTTTTCCGCAGGTTTGGGAATTTTTATCGAATATTTGTTTTTTGGCTCATGCCCTTCCAAGAACACATTTCTGTGTGGATTATACTGAAAAACGTCGATCAAAGGCATAATAAAAGTTGTACATTTTTTATTTCCCTGGACTCTCAAGCTAAGAAACTAACTCAACTTTGCCGACCATTTTCTCTCTTATTTTACCTCTGAAACCAGCCAACCCCCACCTCCTTCAATCACCAATATCAAAATAAATGGATATGCTTTTCATCAAAAATAAGACAAATGAACAGGCTTTAAGATGATACCAATAACTCTACGGGCCCCAAACTTGACGAGTGCCTGATTCCACCGCACCGTGGCACAAATATTGCTCTTCATCTTTTGAGAAACAAACAAAAAACCTGAGACAAAATAAAAAAATCTAGCAACAACATTGAATGATGTACATTTCCGTGATGGAAAGAGACCACATCTCATCACTGAGGGTAAAAAAAAAAAAAGAAGAAAAAAACAAAAGCATGCACAAAAAGCGACTCCCAGTACAAAATCGTTATCTAAAATTAGAACATCAATTATCAATATGATAACATTCCTTCCCTCAGGTGCAATTCTCGTATTATTTTTTTTTAAAGAAACGACGGCATTCATAACTGGTTATCACATCGGATAAAAAATATTGCAACTTTTGAAAGAAGTCCAGGAGCCTTCTCCATTCTTGTTCCTCACTCCAGTTTCTCCTCTTCTTCTTCTCCTCTGCCAAAACTTTTCCTGCTGCTCACGTGAATGCGTCAGTGTCTTGACACGGCCAGCTACTGCTGCGACAGTCTTTTCACGATGAGCCGCTGCGGCAGTGTCTTGTCGCGGTGAGCACCGATGTGGGGCCAGACACAAAATTGTGTCCACCCTTGATGAAAAGGTTGACCATTCACTGCCTGTAACGGTTGTGCTACAGTTCTTGCACTGGTCAGCAAACCCAAACACACATCCCACATCCATTCTGCAGGTCAAACCACACCGAATTCTCTCCTTCTTGGTGCGCACCAAGCAACCGACCAGTCCCACGGGTACATCTGTGGCACACACAGGATCACGCCTTTCAATTATTGCATATTATGCTCCTGGCATGCGACTCCTGTGACAACATAACACCAAACACCTGTCATTTCTTTCTAGAATGTTATGCTAAAGACATCGAGTTTGAGTCTTGTCTCTCGGATATTCAGACGCTGAATTCACAGAAAACTATAAGCCTTCGTCCAACACACTTTTTGTTTCATTTGCTCCAAGAAATCACCAACAATTCACAATTTTATGTGATCTTTGGGCAGTCCGGTGCTAAGTAGTTGATGCCGAAATTCTCCTTCTGCTCATGGATTTATTGGGGGTTTAAAAAAACCCAAAGTCATTTGTGTGTGTTTGTTCATATACAGCCCTACACACACACATACACACATGCATACACACATATGCAAGCAAAACAGTTCCAGAAACTTGTATAGTATTTGTACGTCATATCTTCCCTGGATACCCGACCATATGTGTACGTTACATCATGCCTTCTGTCCTAAACACCTGATCTCATGTTACCATGTCTTCATGCCCAATCGTGAGTAGCAATGTTTGGCTTTCTCTCCAAACGGTGAGAAAAGAGAACCCAGCCAAATACCACTCCCCCATCTCTACACCGGTTAGGAGAGATCAGGGCACCTCTGTCCCCAATTTACTACTCTCACTTAGATCTAATCTGGTCGACTGACCTGAAATTCTGAAAGAGTCCGAGAAATAAAAAGGGTCCAACAGAAGTCAACTTGAGATCTTTTCGAAAAAGCAGCCGAACTTCAGCATGATATACCAGTACTACCAAGTTTAAGCAGTTTGTAAGAGCCACAACTCTAATTCAAAGTCATCCAGTCAATTCATCTAAATGTTATGTCATGTGGTCTCCCCAACTTTAACTCTTCTATTTTTAGCCATTGATGTGGGTAATCATATGAAAGACTATTTTCAGTCAAAAGAGACTTAGATCTTTTCTTTTTCCGGCACCTTCAATGGGGGATTTCACTTGTGTGAGGACATGGATAATTAGGAAAAGCTCTCGCTCAACAAATACACGTACACGACACATATGATGATTATGATATGTTGCTTTCTCTAGTGGGTAGGGAATAACGTTAACTGCTCCAAGACAATTCTGGGTACCAACCGACTAACCATATTCTCTGGTAAACAGTCACTTTCGTCAAAAAGCCTTTGCAGAGTCAGTCACTGTAACTTTTGTGAAATAGTATACGTTTATCACCTCTATCAACACTATTAGTGTCATTTAAGAGGCGGGACCTCAGAGTTTAACGTCCATCTCCAAAACGACTGACGCAAATATGAAATTCAAGTGAAGCGCTTTTCCTCCAAGGACACAACGTGCGACAGTAACTCCTCTTACTCTTACAAAAACTTTGTAGGGTCAGGAACAATACAGATGAGTCGCCAGACCAGAACTTCTCTCACTTTTGACAAAGTTTGAAGAGCATGCACGTACTTCTCAGCGTGAACACAAACAATTATGGATTTCACAGTATCGGCTCGAGTCAAGACTCCAAGCAACATAATTCTATAGTAAGCCAACCAATATCTCATCCCCAGTCCCCGAGAGTTATTATTTCAGTGAAAGTGATTGTGTATGATGTGTGTGTTTATTCCTCAGCCTCTCCCTCTCCGAGTGTCTCTCTTGATTATTGCTTTGATCCAGTGGCCAAGCGGCCGATGCGAGGAGTACAGTAGGGAAATTGAGACAGGGAAAAACTCCACCGACACATCACTTCATATTTGTCCTGCCAAACGCCTTAGTCTTTAGTTGATATGACAAACACCTGCCACCTCGACCTCTCACATCATTCACTCAACCGTTAGGATATTTGCCCCAAGAGGTCATTGTCCTTCCAGGGTATTGACCTCTTCTAGACTCCAACACACACCTGACCACCATATATCTGGTCATCATCTCAAACTATGTCGTCCCTTAAGGTCGATGTTCATTGTGGGACTTGTCCAGGTCTCTACTCCCAACACCTGGCCAGTGTTCATCTGGTCATCGACTCAACTGGTGGGACATTTGCCAGGGCCAGAGTGTACCGTATCAGGTCCTGTCTGATCGTCCCATCCTGCATGAAGAACAGAAAACCTTGTCCTCAGAACATTGAGATCTGCTGTGCTGTTTGGAGAAAGGACCATTCGCTGGAGTGAGAAGACTTTAGAGACAAGCTGCCCCTGGCCTTACTGCAGGTTATGGGGACTTGATGAAGTGTGGCTGGTTCTGACAGCTGGAGACAGGGAAGGAAGGATGGGTTAACGGACGGTCCCTCTCCTCTCCGCTGTCTCTCTCTCTCCCTCTCTTTGTCCACAGCGGCTCCAGATTCCACACTCGTTCTGGTCATCATCATTGCACTCACACACTCGCGCACTCACACACGCACTGTCTGGCTGGACTCCATGGGTCGCTTGACAGGACACGGCAGACTATGTAGACAGGCCCTCCGCTCACACACACACACACACACACACGGCCGCCTCCCTCACGCTGTTTGGCTGCTTCCCTCTTTCTGTCGTCCGCTAAGACTTCACGCTATTGGGATCTGAGGAGGACACAAACAGACACAGTCAGTCACTCCATCTCACGCACAGTGAGTAGGTCATGGAAAAACTAGATCCCAGTATAAATAGATCTAGATCTAATTTAAATGTTTAACAGATATAAGTCCACGTTTTGCAAACAAATAAAGCTAGAGGTTTTACTGTAATTCTCCTGTTGTAGCCTTCATTGTCTTCATATTAGGAATTAGGATGTATCTTCAGTTTATTTATTTTTTAAAGTTTCATTGTAAGAGTTTTACAGCACTTGCCTTGCAGCACAATTAGGTTAAATAAGCAATAGAGATGCTGCTAGAAAGTACCGTGCAAAAAAAGAAAAAAGAAATAAGGATGATAGATGAGTGACAGGGACGAAGGAGCAAACCATACTGTAAAATAATCGGTTCTCTGTCTGTCAGGCTTTTGGTTTTGCTTAAATTTCTAACTGAGATTACGTCACTCTCAGACAATTCACTACATTGACAGAGCTGGTGTGTGGAGCTGTGATCTGAAAAAATAGTAAGCACTCCCTTCTTTACCACTTTGACAAATATACACTCCAAACTTAAGATGTCAGGCTCTTTCTTATTGAGCATGGTTTACCCATAGCTCTACCAGGTGTTCTGGGCCAATGCTGAACTCACTTTGACAGCTCAGTGTAAGAGTGAGACCCCGCCACACATCACTGTCTATGGTGTATGGCCAAGTTTACAAATTACAGTACGGTCAAAAATTTGTGGCGCAACTTATCCTCAAACATCTTTTTAATGGGTAAAACAATGTCACCCATACATTACACAGCAGTTTGTATCAATTTGTCTTAACATAATCATATTTTTCCACAACAAATGAGGCTAGATCAAAAAACTTTTCTCCTTAGGCCTATTTTTATACAAAATACTACAAATATCCTTTCTGCGGAAAATGGGATAGTTCACAGCACTTCTCGCTTTTCACACACATTTTGCCTATGCATATGGCCTACGCCACAGCTCACCAGTGACACTTTTTAGTGGCAAAACTAGTTACAAGAAATTAATTTTAGAGTGAACACTTTTTTGCATAAAAGTTCTCAAAACATGCATTCAATACACTAAATCTCGCAATTAGAACAAAATGACGGACTAGTTTTTAAAAGTGATATTGTCTCAGCTGTACACCTTTTAATATCTGTAGAAACCACCCACTGGAATTTTTAATTCGTATTTATTAGGGAGTTTTCTAGAATAGAGATAACAGATGTTTATAAAAGTATTGATCTGTTAAGACAATTGATACAAGTTACTGTGCAAAAGCTGGAGGGTTTATGTTCAATAGCTGAGGAGATATCTGACTATAAGGTGTGCCAGATTGGGAGAATTTGGGTAATAAGTAAATAGGGTAAGATTCAATTTTCTCGTTTCTAGACACTTACTGTTTTGTGCAAATCAAAAACTTTCAATAAAATCTTAACTGTATTTGCAAAGCATAAAATTATGGGGAACACAACAGGGGATTGGGGGGTGGGGGTGGGGGTGGATGCGGGGGGAGGGGATGGGTGCCCCCACCTGAACCCCCAAGTTATCTGGAAATGTAGTAGTAGAATCATACCTAACTTCTCCCAATCTGAATCTGTGTAAACTGTTGGAAAGTGGGAATGTTGGAAAGTGGGAATGTTGGAAAGTGGGAATGTTGGAAAGTGGGAATGTGCCAGAGAGTTTGTACTCATTTCTACATAGGCCTACATAATGTATCATAGTCTAGTGCGTGAGGAAAATAGTGGAGACTGGGGTAGGTGGTTGGTGGGTGCTCTGGTGTGGTTTGCCCCTTCTTTCCTATCAAACATCTATCGTCCTTATCTTTCCTCCTTCTTTTTTTGTGTATGTTACTCTCCTGTAACACATCTATTCTTCGGCACTTATATGACCTTATAAGTGCTGTAAAACTGTAACGAGAAAGGAGAGCGGGGTGTTCTTATGCCCCCATGTCAGTGATGGAATCAACATCTGGCAGTAACCGGAAACAATTCCTGACATCAGTCTGCCTCGAAAACGGTGTAACTGTGAGGTTTAACAATACTTTTAGGTTATTTAAGAGGCGGAGTTTAACACCCCTCTCCGAAAGGAATAAGCCAAAATCATGTAAAGTGCCTTTCCCAAGGACAAAACATTGACCTGAAGTGAGGCTCGAACCCACATTGTTTCTAATCACTGCACTTCAACCATGCTAGTAATTAAAATGATAATTAGCATTTGTATAGGGCAAATTCCTGCTCAACAGCAAGCTCTACGTACTTTACAATCTGTATTATTATAGAGAAGAATCTCAGGCTCTAATTTGACATCAAAACTATAATATTATTAAAAATAACGCTTAACTAGACCTTACATTCCAACTTGAGTTTTCCAGCAAAAAACTCAAGAAATCGCTCATGAATTAATAGTTCATAATGTGGTGCAAGCTACACATTCAGAGGCATTATACATTGGACTTCAAGCAGATGGAAAAAAAAATAAGGAGCCTCTAGCAGTTGCAAAGCTTTAGAAAGGCACCTACTGACCACAGCAATATCTAGCCGGCCAAAGCAAAGTGGGTTGAGTCAATTCACGTTCACCCCACACGTGTTTAGGCAATCAAGCTCTAGAGTTAGTGTTATTAGAAGCGGCGAGGGGACTGGGGGGGAGGGGGATGGTTTCATGTCAAGAGAACTTTCTTTCTGCTTTCGTCAACCTTTCGTTGGGAAGACAATCTCTTTTCTTTTTTTGGGGGCCATCTTAAAGAGACGTTAGGTTTGATTATCAATTTTATCTTCAGAATCTAAGAAGAACGCCTTATATTATTATTATTATTAT